GCACGCTTCATTTTCATTTTTAATAAGTGTTTTTGAGTAATCATTAGTTAAATTGGTTTTGTAGTGTTTCTTTTGTTAATTTATAATTCTTCTTTTCTATGTTACGAGTAAATAAAAACGTCGTACTTCCGGCAATTGTTTGATGACATATGTTATTTTATTGAACTAGTTTCCTAATCCTGCAATTTCTATACCATTTTTGATGTAATAACAGATTATGTTTAATGTTTGTATACAAAAATTTGTATTTATACACATGCCTCCAAATGTATTAAAAGTTTGTAATTCAGGCACGAAGTCGTCATGCTACTTGTATTACATTATGATTTGATGTATTATGTCACTCCACGGGACGTGTACACAATTTAGTCTCCTATTGTAAATGTCAGGTTTCTCCAAATATGAAAGAGATATATCGTTTCAAATTTGTTTGGTAGTAATAAATCGGCGTGCATTACAGTCCATAATGGAGAAGTGGAAAGTTGACATTTTTGAACTTCTAAATTTTCTTACTTTCACTCTTAGTATGAGTAAGTAGCAGTTAGAAATTCTTTTGGACGTGATGATCTCGATACTGGTAATATTCGCAGTGATTGTTTCTAAGGTATGATACTTCGTTGTATAAAATCAAATTTATTGTTTTTATCTAAATAAAGTAGAAGATTTTATTTATTGCCAAAAACAGTTAAAAATAGTGTTTGGAGGGAGATGGGGGTTGTGTAGGGAGATGTAGTATGTTCTGTGCACGTTTTCTAATCGAATTCAAGCAAAACATTTGAAGATAAAATTTGAAGCCTTTTTTAAGAAAATTTTATTTACATATTTTCATATTTATGATTTCACTCACAATTATGTGCATACTACTCATATTTCGAAAATAATGTGACGTTATTTAAATATAGGATTTTGAGGAACGTATTTCACTAAGAAAATAATGTCCTTGTAAGGTACGTGTTGAGGAGGGTCAGGAACTGTTTGATTTTTGTCGTTTTTCAAAACTCCACGGCTTTACTGAGTCTATTTGACCCATTTTTAAATTAGAGCTTTACTCTACTTGGTGAAAGAATTTAAAGAAAAAGTCATAATGAAATCTCAAATACATCCTTGAGGCTTCATTGAAAGAGGTTCCTTAATTAGCTACCGAACAGAAGTGGCCACCTTACGTTAGACTCTACCAGATATTCGTGTTAAAATCAATACTTTAATTTGCCGTGTAGTGGAATCTAAAAAAGGAGACTCGCAGAGAGCCTAATTTACTTTTATAGACCACTCCACTGAATCATCAACTTCAACGCTTTTTTCTTAGCTCAAATGTCTTATTTTGCAAATTTTGTATCCTCAACAGACATACTCAGCCTAAATGAAACAAATACGACAGTACTGCAATTCCCGGAATTCCATATGTTGATTTCCACGACATCGTTAAAGTATTGCACGATCGTGGTCAGATCATGTTCTTGACGTGTGTCGGTTCGAATCATCGTCTAAGACCATGATTAGTTGCCAAAAGCCGAGCATATTATATTAGGGTATATATAGCAGATTATATTAAGAAAGAAGTTATATGTTTAATAATGAAGTTGTAAAAGGGTGTGAAAAAAATTAAATATTCGACACTCCTGAGATTTTTGCTGAAAATATGTCCTGTACTATAATATTGAGTGATGTGGCTTTATTGAATCAAAATATTTACAGATAAAATTAGGAGCCGTTAGTCAAGAAAATCTTGTTTACATGGTTTCATATGTTTACCGTTTCACTCAAAATTGCGTATATTCTACTATATTTTGAAAAAAGTATTAGTTAATTTTAAGTAACGATCAAATTTTGAGGAATGAATCCGACTAAAAATATCTGTCTTAATATTATAGGTCCACAACTTGTTTGACTGTTGCGTTTAAAAAAAAATCATAAAGCACCCCCAAATAATTTTCATATTCAAGTGGTTTCGAATTCGACGATATCAATTAATCTCGATTTTGAAGAAACTCCTATTCCCTGATTAGGTTGATACGTTGTATATTGTAGAGCAGACGACTTTGAAAACACTTCTTTTTCGGTATCAGAAATCCCTAAAACGTGTACATCCGTTGAAATCTTGACAAACATATATTACAGCAGTAAATATTTTTCTCTACACTACACATACAAGAAAGTAAAATGAATTTACTTCAAATGTGAATGCCACTCTTTTAAATATTATCTGAAATCTCCTTCTGTTTTGGATCCCAGAACCAGGAGATGTGGTTCAGGGCATCTGTCATGTCTGACTGGTGAAATTGCAGTGCCTCTGTTCAGGAGATCCTTGGGTTCAAGCCACGATGGTGGCAGGATTTTCGACACTAGCTACGAGTTCTGACGCTGTCTGGATGAGAATTCTAGCTGCTGGCTGCTCTGATCGGTAGTTTGATCAATACCAGGCGAATGCTGGAGCAGTAGCCTATCAAACGGGCTACGGACCGCGCGCGATTCCTTGTCCTAACCTCACCTCTCACACACTTACACTAAAATGGACTACACAAAGCACGGAGACCGATCGGGAGTTTAGAGTTTGTCCTGTCTGGGCAGTAGCCCTGGTGGGAGATACCTAGTTAGGGAAAATCCCGTTAGTCGACGGTAGATCGGGATCGGATCTCTCCATTAAGTGTGACAAAATCACCGCCTCCTCCCGAGCACTTCACTTTCGGGACTTATGTCCTTAGATGTTGGCGCGCACCGAAAGACGTAATCAATCAATCAATCAATCAATCAATCAATCATGGATTCCCAGGTAGTGTCCAGCAGCGCGACCAGAGGTCTCCGCCACATGCCCTCGCCCACGCCCGCAGACGCGCCCCCTCTGGGCGAAGGGCTGGCGTACGCCCTGTGGGCCGAGGGCGCCGCCGTCGTAGTGGTGGACCTGGGCGACGGCGAGCGCTGGCTGCGCGCGGTGCACCGCAGGGCTCGAGCGCCGGCCATTTTGTGGAAGGCGCCGCTCGAGCCCGCGCCGGGTGCGCGCCAAGATGGCTGGAGGACCCAGCAGAGGCTATATATTGGCGGCACGCACTCGGTCGCGGTTGCGCGGGTTTCTCACACGTGGATACAGCGAGCGCTGTGCCTGACTCATGGCTACTGGGTAAAGGTTTTAAGTTGTTGTTGTATTATTAACATAATAATAATAATAATAATATAATATTAATGAATAATAATAATATATGCCTTTATTGATATGGGCGAAGCTTGCACCATTTTCTTCTCTTCTTCTTCTTCTTCTTCTCTTCTTATTATTATTATATTATTATTATTAATTATTTCTATTATTTATTATTTATTATTATACTATTATTATTACTATTACTATTACTATTACTATTACTATTACTATTACTATTACTATTATTAATATTAATATTATAATATTATTATCAGCAGCAGCATGAGCCACAATGGGCTTCAGACTCTGAACTTACATTAATAAATGAATTTTTTTCTGAAATGTGTAAAAATAAGCAAGACACGTCGTAACAAATAACTATATTTGGGCCTTGTTACAATGTTCCAAAATGTCACTCCAACCAGAAACAAATGCCAAAATAATCAAACCCACCACGAGAAAACAACCAAGTACGTCTGTAGTAATACTCAACTAGAAGTCCATGAACCTGATCAAATCACCAGAGTCTAGAAAGAGGAATATCTGCGGACGTATTGTGTGACGTGATTGGCAAACGACACTATAACTCGCAATTTCTTCCAAAATTACTCTGTCTTCTGAGCTCGTTTCATTTTCGACGCCGCTGCGAGCCCAGACTCTCTCAACGGCTCGGCGCTTGTTGAAGAGTGGACCGCCACGTCGACTTGTTTCTGCAAGGGAGCTCGCGCCGACTTGCCAGCGCGTGCGAACTCAAAAGTTCGCCATGCATACACCATGTTCTCTTTTTTGTTTCATCCCAAAACTCTTCGATGGACTCCGGGTGTTTCTCCTTCCTTCCTGCAATTCTAGTTGTGTCTGTCTTTTTTTCGTTTTGATTTTTTGGAATTCATCATAATATTTAAAATATTTTTTTGGATTTGTTGATGCATCTGATGTATTTTGTAATTTTACTTTTTCTACTAGAGTTAGAATTTAACAGGTTCGCACGTTAGTATTTAAGAGTATTGTGTGTCAATTTGTTCATTCGGTCGAGTTTTGAATCGTGTAATCTCTCTACCCGAATTTCAGGCTGTTTTTATTCCCAGAAAACTCGCCTCACCGTTGTTTGTGCCAAGACAAGAAACCCCTTACATAAATCTAGGGGGAAATGGGTTTTCTTTGAATACATGAGAATTATGGTAGAATTGCGAACATCATACACAAAAAATTACTCTGTTCAACTACAACACATTTTTTTTCTAGAACTGTGCGAGAACTTTAAAAATAGTTCATTTGCTTCAATCTGTTCGTACCTTCCTTCGTACAATTAATGTAACATATAATCGGCGTGAAGTTTAAAAAAATGGTATGTGATATTTCGTCAACGCCAACCTTCCTTTAAATCCTATACATATTATGTTTCTAAATGAAATACTAATTAACTAACCGCTCAATTCATAAAAAACATTCTTTAAATTTTATTTTTAGAAATAGTATATTTTACAAAGTGGCATGATAATTAATATATGGATTTTGGATATGTAATATGTACCTCAGTAACATTAAGATGTTGCTTGAATAGATGGGATGGATGTTGCAAGAATGAAATATATATTCCGAATACCGTAAATTTATTTTCATAGATTTGCATACAAAATTTGTTGACATACTTAACAATCTGGCCTCTGTATTTTGTTCAGTTATCATTTGACCCCTAACTTTTCTTGACATGTTTTCTGTGGTTTGACATTAAGAAGAAATAAAGATACTTATCATGTTTCTTTGTTGTTCTCTTCAATGATGTATCAAATAATATGATATTTTATATTATTATTATTATTATTATTATTATTATTATTATTATTATTATTATTATTATTATTTGCAGTTTTGGGTTAACCAACGCAACCGGAACCTTCAGCTGAAATCCACAGCGCAAATTGTTCTGTCAGTGACTGAACATTCGACAAGCAGTGGCAACACCAGTGATTCACTCGCAAAAGAAAACGAAAATATGAAGAAAGATAGTGTAATATTGAACATATTGTGGGCTCACCATCAATCATTTCGTGGGCTTTTGCTCAAGGAAACCAAGCCTGGAACTTGGGAAGGAATGTCTATTAAAGCTCCAACAAGTTTCAAAGGTGGAAAGTCGAAAAGGTAAAGTATGATGTGATTGACGGTGTCTTCAATTTCGAAAGAAACCAGTTTCATTACAAATATATCATTTTGTTTATAAATTGGAAATATTCTACTCAAATAAAATGACCTGCTCTAATAAATAGGCCGATTGAAGATACTGTTTGTTGTGAAGTAATTAGCATTATCTGTTTCACATCTGTTTCTGATGCATTCTGAGATGTGTCTTCTTGCAAGTGTCAAATAAAACCTCTGGGAATAAATGATATACCTGAGTTGTTGAAATGAATGTCATGTTAACCCACTAGCCACTCTAGTCGCATATGTATTTTATATCCCTCATAATTAATTGAACTAAACGTAAAATAAACAGAAAAATAAGACATAAAAATACTATATAAATAATAACGTGTGGTTAAAATATACCTTAAAGAGCAGTCTATATTTTGGACGATGTTGCCAAAGCGACAAATTTCTTGTGGCAAGAAAGTTTCTCCGATATCAAGGAGATTCCCCTCATTCAAGAAACTACCTTGGCAAAATTTTAAATTAATTAATTTTTTTTGTCTTCGAGAACAGAAACACATCAGTTAAGAGAATATGCAAAAAATACTGTAAATCGTTTGCATTACAACACCCATACTCGTATACCCATAAACATAACGCACATACACATTAAATAAGAGTTTACTGTACTAATATGAAGATACATTAGAATTATTCATTTCAAATTTGTTACTATTTGTTGTTTCTTTTCTTCACTTCATGTAGACAAAAGTTTTCATTAATATTTTTATATAGGGTGAGTAACTTTGAATGTAAGAAGACGCCATTAGAGATTTGTAGTACAATGATCAACAGTTTTCGTTTCTTAATATTCTGACACTTGCATCTTTACTCCAATATCACTAATTAACTGTGATTTTGTTACTGATTATTATACTTTTACTTTGTACTTTACTTTTAAATACTGGTTTTTTGAACTTTTAAATGCAGTGTACTGTATTTTTATATACATATTTACTGCACATTTTTCTTGCTGCTTTACAGTACTTTTCCTTGGCACTTTATGATATGTTTTCATGCAGCTCTACTGTATTTTTCCACGTTGTTTTAATGTACATTTACTTGCTGCTTTTATGCACTATTTCTTGCTGATTTTATGCACTATTTCTTCCTGCTTTTCTGCACTATTTCTTGCTGCTTTAGTGAACTTTTACTTTAAGCAAGAAACGTCAGTCAATTAAATTGCAACTTGTGTCTTGTAGTCACGTGGGTGGTAGCCTCGCAGCCCGGACCATTGCACAGACCACCTATGCGTCTCACGACTTGGGTGGCTTCACGGTAGACACCTATTACCCACGGACATTGCACTTCTACTCTAAGCAAGAAGTCATCCATGGCGTGCCAGTAAAAATAGTGGGATACAAGTACAGGCTGATGTCAGAGCTGAAACGGCGTCTTAACTTACGTTGGAGAATACCGGAAATATTTCGTGTGAGTATTCTTTTCTGTAAAGAAGTTTTTCGGCATTTTTATCTTCCAGTTTCCATAGACACGTAATGAATGCTAAAACTAGAATATGAGTTTGATATTTTTTGTATTATTTCAGAGAGTATTTATTTGTAATTGATTATTTATAACTCGTTTTTCCAATTATTACATTGTTACAAATGGAATTGTTTTATAATGAAAGCAACGAAAAAGAACATGAAACCACATTGAAATAATTTATTCACGAGAGATTAGTACCGTAAGGTGATGTTCGCTCGATAGTTGTCAAATAAATTTCTTGTAATCGTTCTGAGAAAACGTGAAACGTGCGTGTTGTTTTACCAGGTCACATATTTCAAGTGTTCTTTTTGGTGTGCAATTTTATTTGTCATTTTTTCATTATGTCATTTTGTTTACGTTCAAAAACGAATAGAAGGTGCTGGGAAAGTGCCTAATTTGTGTTCCCCTGCATCACAAGAGCGTATGCTAGAATTTTATCCATGACACTGAAGTCCGCTAGTGTAACAAGATTCGAACCTTAGTTCTTAAAGCCCCAAAACTGGTGCCTTATAATTGCTTGCATAAGGCGTCTAGAGATTTGTGTCTCCTAGTTTCACGAACTCCGAAGCTACTCACGACCAGAACTTCCGCACGCCTGCTACCGCTGATGGTAGCTGGTCTTGTAACTGTTCCGTAATCCTGAGCCAGACGGCATGAGGCACATGACATGGCACATTGCATTAATTATAATCGTCACATAAAAATTAAGCTTCACTCACGTCCAGATATCTTCAATCTTTCACTTTTACAAGTACTCGTACAAATTACTTTGCCAAAGGCCGTCAGATCACCCTGGGAAAACATCAAGACTTTCCTAAGGCAAGACCTTCATTGCTTCCATAGTACCACAAACCAGAAGTCGCAAAACCAAACACGATCACCACAACTTCCAAAAATACACTCCAAGTGTGTAACTGGATTCGGCGTATCTTAAAAAATCAAATAGTTTTCAACAAACAATCCTCATATGACGACTGGCTGCTGTGGTGCCTGCTCGTGCAATATATACAACGCCAGGCGATTCGTATACCAGACGTCGCTGCTCCGCAGAGACTCGCTCTTTCAGCTCGCCGTCAACCTCTCATGCATTGTTGTTTGGTGGGTACGCGAAATATTTGCGTCGAAACGTGTCCTTCAAAACACCAACGCATGACGCTCGCATTATGATCAGTGAAATGTGCCACTTTGGTAACTAACTTTCCACTAGAGGTTTTTTGGGAAACAGTTATCATTTATGACCCACTTACACCGGAGCAGTACCTTAACAAATAAAGCCTTTCTTTCCTCTTCCTTGACCTATCGTAACCCTTACTTACAATCACATTTTCATGCATTACACATGCCGGGAGTATTTACTAGACTGTCCGGGTGACGCTGCGTCCATGGCGAAGGTGCCGAGGTTTCGGTCGCCATTCTGCATTACGGCCTGAGGAAGGTCGCAGAATGGCGACCGAAACGTCGGCACCTTCGCCATGGAAGCGGCGTCACCCGGACAGCCTAGTAAATACTGACCCCGGCCGCGGAAGCCTACGCTCTCACATGTCGGGGGACTAGTCGGAAGCTAAGGGCTGGTTCCGTCTGGGGCGGTGCCCCGCTGGTGGGAGTTACCTGGTTAGAGAAATCCCAGCTAGCCGATGTGAAAGTCGGCACCGGATCCACCGGATTTCACCATCAAGAGGGGGAACATCATCGCTCCTTCCCGAGGAAATAACATACACTACACTTACGTGACTAATTAACTTAGCAGTTGACGCGCCAGGAATCACTAATCGATTAATCAATTGACCCCCTTACATGCCTAAATGTTTGTAACTTTTTTTATAAAACACCAAAAAATAATTAAACAAACAAACGTGGTTAAATCCAGCATCCGTACTGCGCCTTGTGTGTGCAGTGCAGCAACGAGACCTCAGCGTGCGTGATGCAGACCTGGGGCACCATGGCGCAGGCGCTGGCGCTCGGCCAAGTGGCTTTCTCGCCCATGCAGTTCGCCTCCGAGCCCCGCCTGGCCTCCGCCTTCAGCCCCGTCGCGGCGTCGCACGAGAGGGCGCGGGTGATTGTGGCCGTCCCGCCCGCCGCCTTGCTTCCCGCGTGGACCCTCCTGCTGAGGACGTTCTCCCCGGCCCTCTGGGCCCTGCTGCTGGCGACGGCGGCGGCGTACGCCCTGGCGTGGCGCGCCGTGGCGGGCGAGTCGCTGGCCGCCAGCGCCGCCGCCGCGCTGCGCGCCTTCTCCTCGTGCGGGGGCGCTCCGCAGGACAGGGTGCGCGCCACGCCGCAGCGCCTGCAGCTGGCCGCCGCGCTGCTCGCCTCCGCCGTCGTCGTCGCCGCTGTCTACCAGGTAGGGCAGTTTGAATTCGTTGCTGCAAAAATAAGGAATTATTTGTACAAAGTTGCATTCGAAATTGATGTCGTTTATTACGTACCTACGGCAATATAGAACCAATGAATGACGCAATTTGTAGCAAACCAAGGCGATAGCCGAAATATATAATTATACAAATTAATTGTTAGTTCTATATCGACCGTGTGTCGTTTAGTATTTTTCGTAAAATAGTAGAAGTCGTCTTATAACAAACACTCAATTTTACTGTCTTATTTTCCTTGCCCAATATATTACTGTACAAAACTATTGGAATCATCTCAACAACTCTTTTTCGAATTTTCGGTCGTAAAATCCGTGGTTAGGGTTTTTATGAGCTGTAACTTTGCCCACACGTCAGAATTACGACGATTAGCGCTGTTCATAGAGTTTTCTTTACCTTATTGACATTGAACGTTAAGTAAGTTAGTCAGTCGTAGTTCTTCATTTCTTCGCTCATTTCTTTGTCAGTTCAGCCAGGGGCTTCGAACCTTTAGATCACCGGGGTTCCCGGACGGTCAGTCTTCCAGAAACCCACGGAATTTTGGCGTAACGTTCGTTACTTGATGTGTAGGGGTTATGCAATTCCCCTGCCGTCTCCGAATTCATGTTGCAAATATGGTTAAAATAGGTACAGCTGGAGACGAGAAACCCGCAATTTGTACACATGAATCAGGATGTCTGGATGAATACAAGCTTGTGTCACGCATAACTGTCACATTAGAAGTATTTGAGCTGAAACATGGAAAAAACCTTAGGAATGATATGTAGTTAGGCAGTTCCCGAAATTATTGAAGTATTTTAATTTTTTGGCTTACTTTATTTGAATCAGATTTTTTTTTTGGGGGGGGGAATGGCTCGGGTTTTCGTGAAGTTTTTTATTCGCATAGAAGAAAGTGTATTTGTAAGTCCGATGGAGGTCCAATATCTATTAAAACCTAAGAAATATCAGCTTTATACTCAACTAAAGTTTGTATTTTTGCTTTAAATACAAGGTAGAGGACCTGAAATGTTTTATGTTAGTTGCTTCCAATTATTAACAGACTTTACTAGTATACACTTTAAACTGTAACTCATAAAATTAGACGAAGTTTAGAAGTTATATTATTATTTAGAAACATTTTGAAAAAAATATTCATTGCGTGGGTTTTGATGTATTAAAGTATTCGACATTCGACGTTTCGATAAAACCTGACGTCGAGCTTTAGGGGGTAGCGAGCGAATACAGCGAGGTTTCTTTAAGTTCGAAGAATGTTTTAATACACATATTTGGTATGCTATAAGCACAATATCCACAGTGTTAACTGGAATTGTGTATTTCCGTCAAAAATCAAACGTTTCGTTTGTATTGCTGCATTACGTTCTTAAGAATGAACACCGGTATTTCTATTGCCGTGTTGTTCTCTGCAGTCTTCCAAGTGCAATGTCATCTTGCATTGTCACAATACTTGTCACAATACTATGATATTGTCATACTTATAACTGTATCTGTACATACTTCACAATATTCGTCACAATACTCGTCACAATTACTACGTCACAATACTCGTCACAATACTCGTCACAATACTCGTCACAATACTCTCACAATACTCGTCACAATACTCGTCACAATACTCGTCACAATACTCGTCACAATATCTCGTCACGAATACTCGTCACAATACTCGTCACAATACTCGTCACAATACTCGTCACTAATACTTGTCACAATTGCTTGTCACAATAGTTGTCATCAATACGCAAACTTAAATGTATCTTGCGAGTGGGCGGCGCTGGCGCCAGGCCGCTGGGTGGCGCTGAGCGCGCGGCGGCGTGCGCTCGGGGCGGAGACGGAGGCGTGGCGCGGAGCGTGGCGGCCGCGCGCTGCCCGTGTGGGCGCTGGGGCGGCTCGGCCGAGGACCTGCTGGCGCCCGGCCCGGCGCTCAGTGGCCGCGCCGCGCGTGGGGCGGCTTGCGCTGCCGCAGCCGCCGACGAGGGGCCCAGGTCCCGACCTCCGACAAGCGCCTACTATAAGAAACTCCGCCGCAACGGATACCTTTGTGATCGTTTTGGCAGTTGACACGCGTTCACGGTTCCGAATCTACACTTTGGGCAATCACTCTGGAAACTTAAGGATGATAATTACCCCCTCGCCCCTGCAACCACCTTGAATGCAGATGATAGTTATTAAACCTCCTATTATCACGTAATCTGGTATTGGGCGCCTAATAATAATATAACGAAGTGTTTCGCTAAAGGAAGAATACGCATGGAATGAAGAAACACTTGTTTATAGTATTTATAAAGCATATTCCGAAAACAATCTTTCATGAATGGTAGAAGGATCGTAAGACCGCGCCACCACCTGTGGAGAAACTTACTGATGTGGCTTTTGAAATTGTAAATGTTTTTTAACATACATTCCGCCAGAAAGAGATGACACAAGCGGATCCTCTTGAGCACACTATCAAACAGCGTGGTTATTATGGTAACTGGTCAAACAAGGCGAGATGAAATATTTGTTTTCTTTTCAAGATTTCCTTGATAATTGTACCCATGCAATTGCTCTGAGAGAAATTTATTACACTGTTTTTAATCTCGAATGAGAGCTACGCGAAATTGATCGTGTGCGAAGTATGTTTTTTTTCTGAACACCCACCTAACTGTCGTACTCCAACTACCGAATTACGCACCAGGATAACTACGGAATTGTTCTAATAGCACCAAATGCCTGTGTTATTTCATAACCGAACGGTTTTTAATCGTTTATCACTTATGGAAACGTATTATATATTGTAATTTAATTGATGCCTTATTTTACGTGTCAAGACCGCTCTTCCGTCTGATCACGCAAATTTCGCTAGAGAAAGGAGAAATTTCTGGGGCGACGAAAGAGGCGATTTCAATTTAGCTCAGAAACTTCATTTAGGATTCATTGAGGATCTTTTGCATGCACGTAAATATTTTAACATGGGACAGTCGGCTTTACTTTCCCTCCGAAGGAAGGAGTACGAAGGATTTTTTGGCCCTTGAAAATCCCCGGCTTCGAACGGATTTGAACCTGCCAACATGAGTATAACAATTCGATAAGTGTATATAAGTCATAATCCCCGAAGAAACAAGTTTCTTTCTTGGCTCGAACGGCTCAAAATGAATCCGTTCTTTTTGCTCAAAATGAATCCGCTCTTTTTGCTCAAAATGAATCGGTTCCTTTTGCTTAAAAGGTACAATCGCGAAGACACATGCAATTATGCAAAGAATGAATGCAAGCGTTGTATGCGAGAAAGCAATTTGCTCTGTTCACCGAGTGGCGGCGTGGGCGCGTGCGTGCGCAGGTGCTGCGCGCGCTGTCGCGCGGGCGGCGGTTCGCGTGGCTGCTGCTGGAGCGCGACTGGCGCGACCGGACTGCGCGCGCCCCGCGCCTCGCGCAGCTGCTGCGCCCCATGCGCCACGCCCACTTCGCGCTGCGCGCGCGCATGCACGCCACCAGGTGAGAGGCGCTCGTCACTCGTGGTCCTGTTCTCGGCTCGACAGCCCGATGCGGGCTTTGGACCACCAGCGGTGGCCCAGCTCCTCGGTCATGTGATAAGGGATGAGGTGGTTACCACGAAGACATGGTTGCGTAGGCTTCCGCGGCCGGAGTTTGTGTTATCTAGGCTATCCGGAACGAGCCGCGTCACTGACATGGTAGCTAACGTTACGCCAGCACTACGCCCTGAGGAAGGCCACAATGTGCTGCCGTAAACAGCTAGCCTAGATAACAGCACAAAGTCATCCCTTCACCGTATGTACTGCTCTTTATGATCTTACGGTGGGCTTTCTCAACGTCACACAGCAATAGATACTGAGACATTTGTAAGGAAAGCTATAACTTTGGCCCTGCCGGCAATCGAACCCGGACTTCTTGGCTGTTCGGGTGACGCCGCGTCGTTGGCTGAGAGACCGACGTTTCGCCTGTCATATTGCAGGCATCGCCTGTCGTTTTCAAGCCAAGAAGTCATGAGCACGAGCAGCGGAAGCTTACGTGTACAATCGAACCCGGAGTTAAGCCGTGGAAAGCGAGCACGCTAACCAACCAGCCCCCCGAGAGGGTAATAACCAATCCATGGACAATAAAAAGAGTGAAAAGGTGCAGATCAATAAAGATCAATCATTTGTGTGGGTTATTAGGAGAAGAATGAAGGTAGAGTCGGAAGCAGCTGTAATAAGGAGCAGAGAACCCGGACAGCCAAGAAATCATGGACTAGAGCCGCGGAAACTTACGTTTTCATCGATTCTTTGAAACATCAATGTTTTAAGATTTCTTGGCTGTTCGGGTGACGCTACATCTTTGGCTGAAAGGCCGAAGTTTGGCCTGTCATGTCATATAATACCTGACGCGCAGCATCGCGGTGGCACTGCCCTAAGGAAGCCTGCGAATGACTGACCTCTCAGCCAACGTCGCGGCGTCACCCGGACAGAGCCATTAACCCGAGCTGCGGTAGCTTACGTTTCCATCGATGTTTTAAAGCAGATTTAGAAACCTTTTACATTAAATTCGTGCGCAGCAGAACTTAATTTGACAGTGGCTTATATGTTAATTTATAATTAAAATTTAACTGAAAAGAATGTTAAAAAGCTCCTCTCCATGTACTAAATACCAGAAAAGACGAAGGAAATACCAGGATATTTGGATTATCTCGTGCGAGGGATAGTTTGCTCGATGAAAATATAACAAACTGAGTTCGTGTGGATCCAACAAAAATCCTTTAGTGATACCATCAGTTATTATTTCGTTTTTAAGAAGTAATAATACATGTAGTTTTATAAAATTATGATTATGGGAATTTTTCATCTACAAATATACACAAAAAACGAAAACATAAAAACATCGATGTTAAAGAATATTGACTTCAACACTCTACGTTTAAATTATTTTATAGAAAGATCAGTGTTCTGACAACATCGACATCGATATCGGATTTTTCCCGGCAACGTGTTTCAGAAACTGGCCGTGGTTGGATGCTGTGAACCAGCAGGTGCTGCTGTACCATGAGGCCGGCCTCATCACTAAGTGGAAGGAGGACTTCCAGCGGTTCAAAGACTTGCTGGCGCGCCTGAGAGAAGATAGTTGGGCGCGAGAGCTGGGACCGAAGCAACCGGAGCTCGTCGGAACACGCGTTCTCACGCTCGAAGACGTCCTGGCTCACTTCGAAGTCCTGGGCGCCGGCCTCACGCTGGCGGCGACTCTGTTGCTGGCGGAGGTTTTCAGTGCCTGCCGAGGATGTTCTGAATTGCTCTCAAAATTAGGTAGAACCCAGAGAAGAAACACATTCTGGAAACAACCCCGAACATAAAGCGGGCCACTAGTTTCAAAAATTAGCATATTCAAATTTAAAAGGAAAAAAATAAAAACTACATATTTTGGATTTAAATATATAAAATATTCAGCAATAAATAAATGGAGAAAGAGCACTATAATTTTAATGTAAATCAAGTTAGAGATACTATTTCGCACGGATTAATATTTGTGGTTTTAGACATTTTCTGCTAACTCTAAATTACAATATCTACACGTCTTTACTAAAATTCGTGAAGTGAATCAAATTTTCGAAAAATTGGTTAAAAAGAAAAGATATATTGCAAATATTTTATACCTCCCACCAAAAAATGAATAGTTATTCAGGAAATTTGTAAATTAACATTTTCAAAAATAAGTAAAAGTACGAATAATTCCCCTCACAAATGTCCCTCGTGTAACGTAGCGTGTTACTTTGTCATTTGTCTCCGACTTCCTACGGGGTATCATGTTAGGTGGATAAACTAGCGTAAAGCTTCGTGAGGTCATAGAGACTAGGTCGAGGGCATTTCTGATCCACGGGACGTGGGTTTCATGGAATAGTGTGCATGATTTGCTATAGGTATTATCAACATAATTTCTTAGCTTTTAAAAAAATTAATACGTCTTGTTCACGTCTAAGACAAAAATCTTGCAATTAAATCGTTATTCTTGTTGTTGGAAAAAAATTTATTTCTCATAAGAAGAGTGCGAAAGAAATAGTTTTAATGACTACACACAGGTGATATTTCGGTTTTGACATTGCATTTTTAAATTAATACTTTTGTCGCAGCCGGATTTTTGACGTGCACAGGGCAAAAGAGATATTTAATGGCTTACTTTAAATATTTTGTGATGAGTCTCTACGTACCAGTTACGTCAGTCATCCAGAATTCCTTATCTACCGGTTAGCTTCCTAGTTAAGAGACAAACATCTCGAAACAACTCATTATGAATCATCATGAGTTAAAAATTAACATGGTTTATGGCCTCCTGTCATTCAAAACAAACAGGTAAATAGTTCTTGCACTTACTGAAAAACTGCAATCATTTTGTTCTTAATGCTCCTTCAAAATAAACAACTTGCTGCGAACAGAACACGAAGCAAATCAAAATCTGACGGACATCATTTTTTACATCATGCATGTTCCTTTGTATCTCGATCTCGAACAAATTTTCATGTGCATTTTTATCAATCTATGTTGACTTATATCTGGCATATGCTGTGATATTGTATCTACAATAGTTACTTTTTTGTCTTCAAAACAAAAACTAGTGGCAAGTCGTCAATATTAAAAGAAATTTATAAGTGGAATATTTTTCTTAATATTATGACACTCTACGAAATTCATCTCGTTGGAAATATGTTGAATGGATTTTGTTGCTACACATTTGAGGAAGAAAATCATTATTATGTCAGCAGTAGTAATCATATAGCATATTCCACTTGCAACCTGGATGTGCAAAAGTGGAGGGTTCTGTAAATTATCTCTAATTCATGTAGAATTGTTCGCAAATTTGTGCACTTTTCGCGTAATTCTATAGAAAGTACGTAGTATGCTGTTTTAGCAGCACTAAATTTTTTGGTAAACATCCTATAGGAGTTGAAATATGAAACTATCATTAAGGGCTCAAATAGCTTTTAATAATAAAAATCCTATATTATGAAATAGTAACTCCTTACCAACATGTAGGAAAATTAGTGGTGACATAGAATGGCACAGACTTTCTTCTACTACTTGTTTTGCTGATCTTTTTTGTCTAGCCTATCTATTCAGCATTCCACTACCCGCTTAATAAGAATGTTATAGAAGAAATACCCACGCCATATTCACTTAATTTCATTGGTAAATTTTGAGTTCTTTAAAACCCTATGTGTATTTTAGGGTCCTAGCTTATATTGTTCGGCAAAGAAAAGAGAGATGATTTAAGAATCAATGTTTTTTTTTTCTGTATCTGGGCATCCAAATATTATTTGCAGCATTACATAACTATCTCTATACTTCATATATTTCCGCAAATGCTACGCACTCGTGAAATAAAATACTGTATAGAAAATTCAATAAATAAACTCAATAAATTATGAATTAGTATTTACTTTAATTAATTAATAATTTGCTATTTCGTTGAGGAAAACACTGATATCAATAATGATAGAAAAGTGGCTTACCAACGTGTCAAGTTTGCTTTATATATAACTCGTCAGATATCGGCTTCTTGATATTAAAATATTTTTGAAATTGTTTCTGAAGATTTTCAAATTTTGCATGGGCTTCATATGAAGTCTCTAAAAATTGAAAGATTTTGTTCCTGAAGATTAGAAGGAATTGCCAGGCTTTGCTTCCAGCGAGATTGAGGAATATTAATTTTGACAAGAATCCTACGAATAGTTTAGACACTAGTGTGGTTCTCAAACGGGTAGTGGGCAGAAAGGCACAGACACACTCGGACAGATACAGACAGGCACGAACGGACAGGCACATATAGACACAGGCTGTGATAGGTACGCAGGCACGTACAGACACACAAATAACGCAGCAGTCTATGACAGACAGACTGTCACATTCTGCCATAGACAGACACGGACTGTTACATTCTGTCATAGACAGACACGGAATGTCTCAGACACACGTTGCCGTCAACTTTAAGTCTCAACAGACCGCCAGAGACCGTCGGAGTACGACGTTTTGAGAGAAACAGCTTTGTCGGCATTAAGGATCTACAAAACGTGAATTCCGACTACGTTACGTATTAAAGAAAGTAATTTACTACACTCGGAAATAATAAAATTTCTCTTTTAAGATATCAGGCAGTTCTGTCAAAAAAGTGGCATTTTCCTTCGCAGCATTACATAACTTACAGCAGTAAAAACATTTCTGTTCGTTGATACATCATCCGACATATAGGTGCAATGTTATTTTATTAACTCGAAACACGAAGCTTTTTATTTTTTCTATAAATGACCCAATTCTTAATATCTAAACTTCTGAACGTCTAACAAGGTCGCACGTCACCCCCTTCCTTAGGGCGCAGAAAAGTCTGGTAAGAGCCCACAGACCCAAAATTTACGACGTCATGTGTCTTCCCGGAGAATATCTCAGTCGGAACGAGCGACGGAGGGGCACGAATTTGTATTCATTAAAGTTAAAAATAGTTCGGAAGGTATGTAAAATACTGTACGAGCTATATATTTCCGCGGAAATTATTACTGATAACAAGACGGATGGGTGTGTGGTACGATGAAGAACGAGAAAAATGGCAATGGGAGGGCTGCTAGAGAACGGCGGGAGCGGAAAAGGAACTCATGGGTAATATAGAACGAGATAACGTAGTTAAAATAACGTGATAAAGATCTAGAAGTAATAGCATGGTAATGTAGAAAAACGCGGTTATGGCGAAGAAAGAACAGGATGACACCCAGAAAAAACTGGTCGACTTACGTAGCTCAGGGCGCCATCTGATGTGACTGCAGTGCCTCTGACCGGGAGGTCCTGGAGTTGCGGACGGTGCCAAATTTTGGACACCTACATAGCTAGGTCTAGTTCAACTGCTGAATTGAGGAGACTTATAGTGGTCGGCCTTTCTAAACCGATGTTTTCTGTGGTCACTCAGTTCGAAACCAGCCGAATGTCGCAACAGTATACCAAAAGAGCATGCCACGAACCGTGCGCGATCATTCCTTTATCTTCCTTGTCCTATCCTTCCCCTTATTTACATCCACTTACACTTACATGTACAACACTAACATACTTGTCAAGAGCTTGTCCCAACTGGCGAGATGTTTGACTGGTGGGAGATACCTGTTTAGGGAAAATCCATGCCAACTAACGCCGGATCTCTCCATTCAGAGGAGGAAGATCACCACCTTTCGCAATAAACTATGCAGTACACTTACAAGACTACTTATCTTAGTAGTTGACGTGCCTGGAATCACTAATCAATCATTCAGAAAGACCGGAACGATGGCGTAGATAACGACCCAGAAATAGCGCGAGGCCGACGCGGAGGCGGGCGGCGAAAAGACGCGATGGCATCGCATTGGCGAGCGGAAAGGACGGCGTCCGAGCGCGATGAAAGTTCACCGGGGCGCGCCGAGGTAGCTAGCAAAGGTCAACGAGAGGCAGCAGTAAATCAGGGATAATGTATGCGCGGGCTGCCCTGGCGGCGAGAGGGCGACGACGCGCAGTTAGCGTGCGGTGTGTGAGTGATGGTACCCCACGACGAGCTCCCTCCTCCCCGTGCACATGGTCACTTGGGTGTTCCACAGGGCTCGTAGATCCAATAAACATATTACTCTGCATCTGTATACTATTCGTTTGGCCGTCGTTTCTTGAAGAGTTTTCATTTACTTTCTAGCTTATTACAATAACATTATATATTCCATATTAACATCCTGAAAGATTAATCAAATTGTTTAATATTACGTATTTGTCCGCTAAAAAGATCACTATTTTTATTTATTATTGTTATTATTGTTGTTATTATTATTGTTGTTACTATTATTGTTGTTATTATTGTTACTACTATTGTTATTATTGCTATTATATTCCAATATAATGATAAGATACGTTTTATTACAGAGTGGATGCGATTGAAAGTTGATTATATTTTTATCCTGCGTGTTTTCCCTTGGAGAATGACGGATAACTTTGAGGAAAGAGGACTGTTCATACCTTTCTGATGTAGGAATAGTTAGTGAATGTACGTCTAAATAATGGTGTTGCTCTATCATTTCTTTGAATGTAAGAAAATTCAGCTGAGACACGCTTCACAATAGTGTAAAAAATAATTTGCAAACCTCCGCAAATTGCTAGGATAAATTCAGACGCAATTTGGAGAAAAATTCTTGACCGGATGTGCTCTGATTGGTAGTTTTTCGTGCTTTCTTCAGTTGTTACCACGCGAACGACGCAGCAGTAAAAACGGGTCAAGGACAACGCGCGATATTTTCATCTTGTCTCATCATGTCCCATCTTTATGTCTAGTGAGGAAGAACACCAACTATGATATAACATGCACTACACTTATTGGTCTAATGGCGGGTCCAAAAACAAAATAGTCAATCTGCCTCCGCCAGTTGTCTGCCGTTGACCGCCGCGTGAGGATCAGACTCCTTGTAGCGCTATAACATAATACTTTGGATGGAATTTATTTGCCCCTTTCAACGGAGAAACCAACTCGCTGTTCCGTTGTGTAATGCAGGATGCACAATACTTGTGTATGCTAGTTCTCTTGATCAACTACTTCTCTTCTTTAATACTTGCATTACAAAATATTAAATTCCCACATTTACAACTATTTACCTGTTCAATTTTCCTCGAATATCCATAAATATCCATAATCATGTCATTAAGCGATAAGTATAAATATATTCTTAAAATAGGTGTAAATATATTATTAACACCTCCAATTGTAAAGAGAATGGTTGTTTCATTATGTAAGAACGGTATCAAATTACATTTGATAGTTTTAATCCATTATGTTGTCAATTGTTTGTGAATCTCTCTTTTCTTTTGTTTCGGGAAATTGAAACACCCAAAAATATGGGACCTATATTAAAACCTACAATACGAGTAGATTTCAGCTGCCCAATCTGTGAAGTAAGTAACACCATGTTCGGTAATCGTATTCAGAGTTAGCTTTACTTGTCATAGAAATTTTAAAAAATTCTGATAAGTTTGAAAAGGTATCAATTAACATATTATTTGTAAGCCAATTGTGTAATCTTGATGTATTGTATTCGTGCGTATGAAATTTCAAAACATTATGAGACTGAACAGTATGAATGAAATTTCATTTCATTCATATTGTTCAGTCAGATTAAGAACTGATATATGTAATGAAATATGTTACATTTTTATGTAATAGATACCTACATTCCGTTTCCCAGCAGCACTCCATTTACTGTCTTTCGAACGTATTTGCAGAAAGGTGTGATCGTGAACTTCAATATCTCATGAAATGTAACGTCTGAATTCGTAGCAAACGCTGGAGACACCCTTTTCTTAGCTCCGCCTTCCAACTGAGGTTACCCCGCACTGAATAGGAATATTACAAAAGAAATCCCGGAAACTTTCCGATCAATTTGGAAGAAAGTAATCTGCGCGAGGGACGGACTTTGTGCAGAGTTCATCGCACTCATTACACTGAAGGGAATAAGGGAAAGGGAGTTCGTCTGAGGCAGTTCGTCTTTTACTCTGACCAACCGACTCCCGCACGGAATCGGAATTGTGCTCGATTCTGCTTGTCTGTCTGTAGGCATAAGACCCTAAAATATTGACAGATTTTCGTTGGTTACTTCCTTGGAATGTTCTGACAAAAGATACGAACGCTCCTCATTTTACTGGAAAGTAGTTGTGGAATTATTCTTTTGTTTAAGGCAGACACTTGCGCATTAGGAATGAAAATGAGAAAA